GTCCCTGGAGGGTCCCCATTCCCATGGGGAGCTCCCCAGTCCCACGGGGGGTCCCTGGAGGGTCCCCATTCCCGTGGGGAGCTCCCCAGTCCCACGGGGGGTCCCTGGAGGGTCCCCATTCCCGTGGGGAGATCCCCAGTCCCACGGGGGGTCTCTGGAGGGTCCCCATTCCCGGGGGGGGTCCCAGGGGTCCCCAGGCCCGTGTCCCCGCGCGTGGGGCCGTTGCCATGGTGACAGCGGCGGACGAGGCTCCGCCCCCTTCGCGGAGCTCTCGCGAGAGTTGGCGGTACGGCCCGGGCGAGGCCCGCCGGGAGCGGCCCCGCTGCCTCGGAACGGAGCGGACAGAGCCGGGACAGAGACCGGACAGAGCCGGGTCAGAGCCAGGACGGACCCGGACAGACCGGACAGAGACCGGACAGAGACCGGACAGAGGCCGGACAGAGCCGGGACAGAGACCGGATAGACCCAGACAGAGCCCGGACAGAGCCCGAACAGAGCCCGCTCCCTTCGGTCGGACCGGACAGAGCCCGGACAGACCCCGGTCACTTCGATCGGACAGAGCCCGGACAGACCCCGCTCCCTCAGCCCGGACCGGACTGAACAGACCCCGGGCAGAGCCCGCTTCCTTCAGCCCGGCCCCTTCCCGCTCCCTCAGCCCCTTCCCGCTCCCTGATCCCGCTCCCTTCCCTCAGCCCAGGCCTCTCTCCCTGGTCCCGTTCCCGCTCCCTCAGCCCAGCCCGGCCTCTCTCGCCATGAGCTTCCTCTTGTGAGTGCCCAGGGCCGGAGGGGAACCCTGGGGGGCTCATGGGCGGCTTGGGTGGGGGGAAAAGGCCCGTGGGGGCACTTGGACTCGGCCTATGAGAGGGTTTTGGGGTGGGGGGGAAGCGTTTGGGGAGGGTTGGAGGGCTGAGGGGGAAATGGTTTTTTTGGGGAGGCTCTGAGGGGGTTCCTGGGGCGGGGGAAGCTGGAGGGTGTCGTGGGGAGGGGTCTGAGGGGAGTCCTGGGAGGGCTCTTAGGGGAAGGTTTAGGGGGAAACCTGGAGTGGGATTGGGCTGGGGGGGCTTTGGGGAGGTGAAGGGCCTGTGGGGAGGGGCTGGGGGGCACTTGGGCTTGGTCTGTGAGAGGTTTTCGGGGCGGGAGGAAAGCGTTTGGGGAGGGTTTGCTGGCTGGACTGTGAGAGGGTTGAGGGAGGGAAGGGTTTTTTGGGGAGGCTCTGTGGGTTTCCTGGGGTGGGGGGAGCTGGGGGAGGATGTGAGGGAGCTGGAGGGGGTCTGGGGGGATCCTGAGAGGAGTCCTGGGCTTTCAGGAAGGTTTTGGGGGGTCAGAGGCCCCTCAAGGAGCTGAGGAAGGCCCATGACTAGGCCTGGGAGGGCTCTTAGGGGAAGATTTAGGGAGAAGCCCGGGGTGGGATTGGGCTGGGGGGGCTCATGAGGGGCTTGGGGGGTCCCTGGGTGTGTATGGGAGCAGAAAAACCTTGAAAAGTTTCCTTAGGGATGCACAAGAAGGGGCTGAGGAAGACTGGGGGGGGGAGGAGGAAGCCCTGGAGGGACACAGGGAGGAGTGGAAGAAACCCTGGGAGTGTGGTGGGTTTTTTGGGAGGAAGCCTTGGGAGAAGGTGAGGGGGCAGAGCGTCCTCAGTGGCACGAGGAGGGGTCTGGGAGCAGGAGTGGGGTGACCTGGAGGGCAGGAGGTCATGGAGAGAGGCTTTGGGGGTGCATGAGGGGGTGGGAAGCCCTCGAGGGAGCAGTTTTGGAGGGAAGGGGTTGTTTTGGAGGGAGGGGTTGTGTGGCAACCAGAGAATCCCGTTTTCCCTGAGCCATGCTCTGCTCCCGGCCATCCCTCTCGCTGGGAGCTGGCAGGGTCTGAAATTTAACATTTTGTGGTAGAGAAATACCAAAATTCATCAGTTTTGGCACTGTGGCTGTTTGGGAGAGGCAGGAGAGACAGGGAGGTTGTTGGGGACAGCGAGGGGGGGACAATTTGCATTTCAGGAGGCTCTCAAGTCACATTTTTAGCAGGTGGTTTCCCACCCGAGCACAGAGGGACACTTTGTCACCTATTTATAAATTTCGTTTTAACAAATAAAACAATTAATGCTTATTGATTCTAGAAGAGGTATGTTATTTCCAAAAGTTCTGTGATTTCCAAAAATTCTGTTATTTCTAGGTTATATTATTTCCAAAAGTTCTGTTGTTTCCAAGTTGGTTATATTATTTCAAGTGTATATTATATATTATTTTATATATTATGTTATATATAATATATATTACATAGTATATATTATTATATAATATAATTATATAATTGTCTTATATTATCCTATATTATTATTTATTATATAATTTTTCATGGCTAGGCTTCACGAAGGAAGATTTAATTATATATAATTATATATATAATTATATATATAATATATATTATATATTATATTATATATAATATATAATTATATAATATATTATATATATTATATTATATTATATTATATTTATTATTATATATTATATTATAACATATAATATATAAATTATATATTATATAATATATTATAGGTTATAATATAGTATATATTATATAATATATATAGTGTATAAATTATAGATATTATATATTATATAATAATATATAATTATATATATACAATTATATATTACATATATAATATTTAATTATATATAATATAGTATTATATGATGTTTTATTTATATTATATAGCATATATTACATTATATAATAATTAGGTAAGATAGAATGTACTAACATTATATAATATCTAATTATTATAATTAATGCATTATTATAATTAACATCTTTTATTATATGTAATAATATCATATAATATTATATATTATTTCCAAATATATACCATTTCCAAGTTCTGTTGTTTCCAAAAGGACTTGAGGAAATGGCTTCAGGCCATCAGGCTCCCCTGACCCCAGGGGAGGTTTAGGTTCGATATTAGGGGCCAGTTCTTCACAGAAGTGGTTGTAAAGCCCTGGGATGGGCTGCCCAGGGCAGTGGTGGAGTCCCAGGCCCTGGGATGTTCAGGAGACGTGGATGTGGCACTTGGTGCAGTGACCTTGGTGGTGCTGGTGGACAGTTGGGCTTGATGATCTCGGAGACCTTTTCCAGCCTCAGAGATTCCATGGCTCCATGGCTAACTGGACATGTCTCCCCTGTCTCCAGTGGGAGTCGTTCCTCCAAGACCTTCAAGCCCAAGAAGAACATTCCCGAGGGCTCCCACCAGTACGAGCTCCTGAAGCACGCGGAGGCCACGCTGGGCAGCGGGAACCTGCGGCAGGCCGTGATGCTGCCCGAGGGGGAGGACCTCAACGAGTGGATTGCTGTCAACAGTGAGTCCTCTGAGGGGGGAAACCCCAAAAACCTCGGGGTTTGTCCCGACACAAACCTGGGAATTCCCCAGGCAACTCTGCTTGGGTGGAATAAAGGGAAAGCAAGTCTCGGTGGAAAAAAGGAAGAGACAAACCTGCCCCGCCGTGGTTTTCACGAGCTCAGACTCTCCGAGGTGGCTGGGTTTGTGAAGGGTTATTTTTGGTGTTAGAAAGTTCCTGTTGTTGTCTGCAAAAGCTGCACCAAATAATCCAGGGAGGAAGTGGAGTATTTCCACTGAACTCCAGCTTTGGAGAGCTCCTTTCTTGTTTTCTGTTTTCAAATCCTACAGGTTCAGTTTGCTTTTAGCAGCTGCTCCCCGTGGCCTTGAACTTTGTTTCTTTGGAGTTTAGAGGAGGAAAAAGCAGTTTTGAAGGAGAGCAGGGAGAGTTCAGCCTAAGGAAAGTCTCTCCTGTTTTTTCAGATCAGTCAGGGTTTTGGGGAGCCTGGAACCCAAAGCTGTTATTTCCAAGGGTATGGAATGCTAAGTGGAGCTTAATGCTGTGCAAGTCGGGTGGGAAATGAGCCAGGCAGTGAAAAATTGACAGAGAAATTCCAGTTCCTGGATGGTTGAACTGTTTCAAAGTTATGAGCCAGGTGACATCCCATGGAAGGGGATGTTTGGTTCTTCGAAGGGTTTTTTGGGTGCACAGGGATCCTCAGAGACCATTTTGTGTTCACACTTTGAGTCACCTCGATGCCTTTCCTTCCCAGCTGTGGATTTCTTCAACCAAATCAACATGTTGTACGGGACCATCACAGAATTCTGCACAGAGAGCAGCTGCCCTGTCATGTCTGCAGGGCCCAGGTGAGGGCTCTGCTGGGGGCTGGGCCCACATTTCTCTGTGGGGACCCAGGTGAGTGCACAGATCACTCAGCAGTGTGGAGAAAGAAGCTAAAAAGAGGATGGGATGTGTCCCCACGGGCTCAAGGCCCAGCACTGCACTCTTTTCGTGGTGTTCACCTGCTTGTGGTCATACCCTCTGGGATCTCTTTTCCCTGCCCATCAGGCCCTTAGGTCTGGAAGCTGAAGAGATTGGAAAAGTTGGTTTTAAAGAAAATGAGAGATCCAACTCAACTGGAAGAGCCTGGTCTTGTTGTCAAAGTTGTAGAGAATCATGGAATGGTTTAGGTTGGAAGGGACCTTAAAGCTCATGCGGTGCCACCCCCTGCCATGAGCAGGGACACCTTCCACTAGCCCAGGTTGCTCCAGCCTGGCCTTGGACATCCCCAGGGCTGTGGTTCTTAGGAGACACTTGCAGCCTCCTGACAAGGTGTTACTGCTGCGCAGGAGAAGGTCAGGGCATTGTGGAAGGTGGAAAGAAGATAGTGAAGGAACATTTTGGGGCCACCTCATTGGTTTTAGGGGTGAATCCTGCAGGGAGAACACCAGCTGTTGGCTCTGCACTCATATTTTACAAATATGAGCTCCAGCTGGGAATCTTCTCTGTAAGGTTGCTCAGGGCTCTCAGTTTTTAAGCCCAGCTTTGGGCAGCACTTGCAGGTGCCCTGGAACATCCTGCCTTGCTTTCCTCCCCAGCACTGCCACTTCCTGCCTCTATTTTTGGGGCCATTTCCTGTGAGAACAGGAAATGTTTGAAGGGCACTGTTTTCACTTGTAGAGCAAGAGGTGACAGTCGAAACGTGGAGGGGGGGTGGTTCCTGCTTTTGAGGGATTTTGTGGAAGATCTCGGAGAAAGTGGGTTGTGTGCTGTCAGTCCACGTCTGCCCTGGCTTGGAGGGGCCCTGGGATTGATGAGCACATGTGGGGACTGGATCTGGAGGCTCCCAGCTCCTGGGATAGTCTATCACAGAAGTCTTGTGTGAGTGCCAAATTCCTGGAGGGTGTCTGGAAGCTAGAGGGGAATTTATCCAGATGGTGGGTGATGGCCCTGGGCTTCCTTTTGGGCAGTTTTTGGGTTGTTTTAAGGAAATTATGATGTCAGAGGAGGTTGCCGTGAAGTTGAGGCTCATTTTTAACATCCAGAGGGGCAGTGGAGGGGCAGCTCTGATCTCTGCTCTCTGTGAGCAGGGACAGGACCCTGGAACAGCTGGAGCTGTGTCAGGGCAGGGTCAGGTTGGATCTCAGGAAAAGGTTCTTCCCCCACAGGGTGGTTGGCACTGACCAGGCTCCCCAGGGTTTGGTCATGGCCCCAAGGCTGCCAGAGCTCCAGGGTTGTTCAGACAACGCTCTCAGGGACAGATGGGATTGTTGGGGTGTCTGTGCAGGGCCAGGAGCTGGACTCTGATCCTGATGGGATCCAACGCAGCGTATCCTGTGATTTTGGAGGGTGAAGCCCTGGAGGAGTCAACGCCATCATGTTGGGCTTGACAAACTCAAACAGGCCAGGCACTGCTCTTGCTCCCCTGGGTACCAGTGTGGCCCCTTCCTGAGATAAGGAGGAGGTCATAGGGCCTGAAAATGCCCTTTTCCCTGTCCCCCCGTCCCAGGTACGAGTACCACTGGGCAGACGGCACCAACATCAAGAAGCCCATCAAGTGCTCGGCGCCCAAATACATCGACTACCTGATGACGTGGGTGCAGGACCAGCTGGATGACGAGACCCTCTTTCCCTCCAAGATCGGTGAGTGGTGCTGTGTGACACAGGATGGCACCTCCTGAGCAACCACAGCCTCACTCCTGTGTGTCTGTGCATTCCAGGTGTCCCCTTCCCCAAGAACTTCATGTCGGTGGCCAAGACGATCCTGAAGCGGCTCTTCCGTGTCTACGCCCACATCTACCACCAGCACTTCGACTCGGTGATCCGGCTGCAGGAGGAGGCCCATCTCAACACCTCCTTCAAGCACTTCATCTTCTTCGTGCAGGTGAGCTGGGAAGGGCTTTCTTGTTCCCCGTTTAAAGGGAGCTGGATTTTAAGCCCTTCCCTGCAGATGAGTGGCTGTGGTGTGTGCTGGGAGATAACACCCAGCCCCCCTCTGTACCCAGCTGTGCTCTTTGTGGCTTGGGCTTTTTGTGGGTTTTTTTCCAGGAAGTGGGGCTGAGTTGGCTGTGAATGCTTGAGTTTCCCTCTCAGGTTTCACTTATCAACCTGCAGCAAGAAACCCAGGCTTAGCACAGAACCTGGGGGAGTTTGCAGCTTAAGAATCAACTCAAAAGTAGCAGCACCAGTGCCTTTTTTTTCCTGTTCTGTGCACAGCAACGTGGCAGAAGTTTTGTTGTCCTGAAACACTTGGATTTCTCCACAGAGAACAGGGAGAGGTGGCTGCTCCTCTGTGGTTCTCCCAGGAGCTGCCACACGGTGCCTTCCAGGGTGACCAGCCACGTTTTCCAGCAGCTCTTTGAGAGCTGCCTTTAATTTTTTGTCTCTTTTCCCTTGCCAGGAGTTCAACCTGATTGACAGGAGGGAATTGGCTCCTCTGCAGGAACTGATTGAGAAGCTGGGCTCCAAGGACAGATAAAACATTCCTGGGGGGACCCTTTTGGCCTCTCCTTTCTGCTTCTTCTTCAGCCACCTCAGCGCTTGGCTCCAGGAACGCTGGACACACCAAGTGGCTCCACTCCTGCTGTGCAGCCCCCACTGGGCTCCTCTGCCCCACAGCTGTGGGCTGGGTGAAGGTGGAGCAGGTTCTGTCCCTCACAGGGTGACATTCCAAGTCCTGCACAGCTGCTTCCTGCTCCCAGAGTTTCCCTCTGGGCTCTGCAGCCGCCTGGCCGGGGCTGAGAGTGGCTCAGCTTATTTTTGGAAGTGCTTTTTTTTAGGATAAGAGGTGCACTTTGGCCCAGAGCCTTAAAGCTCCCCTTGGCAGCAGCACCGAAGGGGGGAAAGAAGTGCCTGGTCCCAGGGGGGTGTCCCTGTCCCTGGGAGGGAGGAGCAGCTCTGGGGTGTCCCATGGATGGGGGGGGACACGAGGGACCCTCCTGTGTGGCAAGGCAATAATAAAGTTTCTTCCTGCTCTTCTTTCAGAGGAAGAGGGGGGTCTCCTCCTCTTCTTCCCCCGTCCCACAGGCACCCTGATTGAAAACACGACACTGGCTGAAGTTTATACATCCAGGGAGGCAGAGCCAGAGCAGCCCTGGAGCACTTTATTGGTGTGGAGCAGCCTCAGGGCTTGGGGATGGAGGTGAAGATGCGCAGCCCGTGCATGTGCTTGATCTCCTCACTCAGGGCCTGCAAGGCAAGCACAGCTCTGGGGTCACTCCCGGGGGCTGGGCACAGCTTTGGGGCTGTCACTGGGATCAAAGAAACAGGAGGGCAGAGTCTCACGTGGAATCACACACGAATCCAGGTTCTGCTGTGCTGGCAGACACCTGGTCCTGTGTGTGACACAAACCAGCCCAGGGAGGGTCGAAAGCTCTGAATACACCAAAGAGGCCTGCACTGTCAGGGGCACCCTGAACAGCCCCCCGGGATTTGATCACAGCCCCGAGGCTGCCAGAGCTCAAGGAGGGTTTGGAAAACATGCTCAGGGATGGGGTGGGATTTTGGGGTGTCTGTGCAGGGCCAGGAGTTGGATCCATGATCCCTGTGGGTCCCTTCCAGCTCAGGATATTCTGTGAAGTGCTGCAGGCAGCTTTAAATGCCACACCAGAGCCTGTGTTTTCCAGGATGATTCTGATGATTATTGGGGTAAAAACAGGGCAGGCTGGGCTCTTAAACACTCACCTGTGGGCAGGACTGCGACTGCCCAGGTGAGCTCAGCACCCAGCTGTGTGTGTGCCACCCCCACCACTGAGCACCCACAGGACACAGCGACAAGTGCCACACAGACACCTCCTCATTTATGAGGAGAAAAATAAGGAATGGCCGCTATTTATTACCAGGGAAGGTGGGCTGTGCTGGCTGCCCTCCCAGCTGGGCACGAGGGGGTGTCTGTGCACACACAAAGTGCTGCACTCACGGAGCAGCACCTGAACTGTCACAGGAAGGGCTTCACTGTTTCCTCAATAATGATTAGGGAAAAAGGGAAAGGCTTTGGGGAGGCAAAAAAGGGCTACACTTTGTTACAGGGGAAATGCTGCAGTTTTAGCCACCGGGTACAGCATTTGATCCTCTCTGTGCAGAGCACTGTGCCTGCAACACCCACTTGTAGCTGGGCACTGTGTGTTCACACACCCCCAGAGCCCACAGCTGCACAGCTCTGAGCACCCACAGCTCTGGAATTTATTGGGAAGGGCTGGCTTTGTACTGGGAAAGGAGGGGGAAAGGGCTGCGTTGGTTATTACTGGGAAAAAGAAGGGCTGCAGTGAAAGGCACAGCAGGAATCTCTCAGTGTGTGTGCAGCACTTCAGGCACTGTGTGTGCACCAAAGCACCCAACCCAGTGCTGCACACACAGAGCTGAACTGGCTTGAACTGGGAAGGGAGGGGAAAAGAGGGCTGCACTGGTTATTATTGGGGAAAGGAAGTGTGAAGCACTCACTGGGTGCAGGCACAGCACAAATCCTGTCAGTGTGTGCAGCACTGCAGGCACTGAGTGTGCACAGACACCACCAGAGCCCCCAGCTCAGAGCTGCACACACTTTTCAACTGGTTTGAACCGGGAAGGAAGAACTACCCTTCCCAGTCCCAGTGTGTGTGTCCAGCAGTGACTCTGGGAGACATCCGTGAAGGTTCAAGTGCCCCAGAGTGCCCAGCTCTGAGCTGCTCACCCTCACTCTGTGCCCTCCACACCCTTTGTGCCCCCCTGGGGTCCCCCCTGGCCCCCAGCCCCCTCACCTGGTTGACCATCTGGTGCTGCTGCACTGTCCTCTTCTCCCTGAACTCCTCGGACTCGATGTGGATCTCGTACATGGCCCCGCAGCCTCCTGAGAAATGACACGGGCAGCAGATCCTCCAGCAACAAGGAGGGATTGCTGTGCCCCACAGCCCCGACCCGCCGGGGGTCTGGGACAGGGTAACTGGGAGGATGGAGGAGGAGAACGAGGAGCTTTACCTGAGATGTCCACGACCTTGATGGAGGAGGCCCTGGGGAACCTCTCCCGCAGGACCCGCGTCAGGTGCGACTCCCCCTCGGAGCCGGAGCTGAGGCTGCGCCAGGAGCGGCAGCGCAGGAACAGCTGGGGGGGGACAGTGATGGGAGACTGGGGGGGCCCTGGGGGACCCCAAACACACACACAGAGAGTGGGGGGACCTTGGGGGACCCCAAACACACACACAGGGAATGGGCAGACCCTGGAGAGACCCCAAACACACACACAGGGAATGGACAGACCCTGGAGAGACCCCAAACACACACACAGGGAATGGGGGGACCTCAAACACACACACAGGGGCTGGAGACCCCAAAACCACACACACAGGGGATGGGGACACCCTGGGGGGACGCTGAACATACACAGGGGGTGGGAGGACCCTGGAGAGACCCCAAATACACAGGGGCTGAGGGGACCCTCTGGGGGGACCCCAAACACACACACAGGGGGCTGGAGGTGGGAGTGGGTGGGGGGCTGTCTGTGCCCGGGGGGATATGGGAGGAGGGAAGGGAAGGTTTGGGAAGGCAAGGCACGGGAAGGCAAGGCAAGGGAAGGCAAGGCAAGGGAAGGCAAGGCACGGGAAGGCAAGGCACGGGAAGGCAAGGCACGGGAAGGCAAGGCAAGGGAAGGCAAGGCACGGGAAGGCTGCTGGCACAGAGTGGGAGGCACCGGGAGAGGGGGAAAACTGAGGGATGGAGGAATGGGAATGGGGGAAGATGGGATGAAATGGGGGCTGCCTTCAGTGGCATCGCAGAAAGGGGCGAACTGGAGTGGGGGGAAACCAGAAGAGGGGAACCAGGGAAAGGAGGGATGGAAACGGGGCTGCCTTCAGTGGCATCGCAGAAAGGGGCGAACTGGAGTGGGGGGAAACCAGAAGAGGGGAACCAGGGAAAGGAGGGATGGAAACGGGGCTGCCTTCAG